ATGTCTCCCAGACAGGAAATAAAGCCATGCCTACAGGCTAAGCACTGTATCAGAGCAGTGGACATGTGATCAAAGTGAGTATTGGATTAGATAATGTCTTTGGAATATTCTGCCTCCACTCTCCTGTATGCGAAGGTGGGTTAAGTTTGCAAATCAGGACAGCACTGAGGTCCTAGGTCACCTGGGGCTGGGGGTGAAGGTGAGCAAAGAAGGCGTGGCACCATTATTTCTCTCACGCTTTTCTCCATCACCTTCATGGGCTTTCCCCGGCTTTTGCCCATCTTTTATTTATTTTTTAATGTTTTCAATTGATTTTTAGAGAAAGAGGAAGGGAGAGGGAGAGTGAGAAACATTGGTGTGAGAATGAAACATTGATTGGCTACCTCCTGTATGCCTCCTACTGGGGATCAAGCCCGATATCCAGGCATGTGACATGACTGACCTGATTAGGAATCGAACCGGAGACCCTTTGGTACACAGAACAATGCCCAACCAACTGAGCCACACACCGGCCAGGGCTGCCCATCCTTTAAATAATGGTGTTTCCCAAGACTGTTCTCAGGAAAAGGCTCTTTCTGTGTTCTCCTAGACCTAGAACATCACCTGAAAATACGCTGATGCCTTCCAGAGCTGTGCCTCTGGCCCAACCTCCTGCCCAGCAACGGACCCACACTTCTGCCTGCCTACTGGGCAGAGCCACCTGAATCTTCCACAGGGACCTCAAACTCATGTGCCCCAAACCAAACTCATTCTCATCTGTCCACCATCCTCCCTTTTAAAATGGCGTATTAACCAAGAGCCTGGGCTCTGGGCACTGACCACCTGGGCTTCCATCCTAGCTTCACTACATACTTTCTTGAGCAGTTGCCTAACTGCCGTATGCCTCGTTTTCCTCATCTGGAAGATGGGACTAGTGCCCTCCTTATGGGCTTAATGTGCAAATTAAATGCGATAACCACACATCAAGAACATAGGCCAGGGCCTGACCCAGGGCAGGTATTCAATATATCTTAGCCATGTTTATTATTCATTCCTTTATCAAATATTGACTGAGCTCTCACTGTGTATCAAACACTACTTCTGACTTGCATTTCCCAAATTAGACGCTGTCAAAACTCTTAGGTCTCCCCATTAAACTGTCTTTTCTCCAAGATAGGGAGAGCATCGCATTCATGTTTTAATCTCCAATACCGGTTTATGAAGGTAGCAGTAATTTGCCTGAATTCAACTCCAGGAAACTGTGGCCTTTGTAAATAATCCACATCATCTTAACAAACAGGAAATACAGCATCACTTAGAAAGGCAGGAGAAGACCAGTGAGATTAAAAACATTCTCTGAAGCTTCTTTTTTCCACTCTCTTCCATGCTAACCCTTGTAGGCCTGGGTTCTCATTCCTCTGCCTTGAGGACTTTACAAAGGGGGTGTGGGGAGGAGAACATGAGAGAATAGATTAGGCAGTAGGAAAACCCTGAAGAGAGGATTTAGAAAGAGGGTGCGATGAGAACCCTGCGAAAGGAATCAGACCTATTGTCGCCTGGCATCCCACCCCCGACAAGTTCTCCTGGGGTGAGCAGTTGGACCGGGAGGGGATGTGAAATGCAAAATGAGCCTCCATGTACCACCAGGAGCAAGGCCGCCCCGCCTGTCACGTGAAGGCCCAGTTTGTCTCTGCCTGTAGTGAACACATTCAAGACAAGGAGAGAACCTTGGAAGTCTGGGGTATTTAGTTGTTTGCTTTCCTGGCATCTACAAGACAGAGAAATATAAATCAGAAGATGGCAGAGAAACCAAGGGAAGGATGGGGTGGAAGGACTAGCAGACACGTGAAAAAACTAACCAATGACAACAAAAAGGAAAACTAGTTAACTCCAGGAAATAGAGAGAAAAATAGGGGTAGGTGCAAATTCAATAGCAACTAAATTCTCTGTAACAAAAAGACATCTAAGGTAAAAAAAAAAAAAAAAAGTTTAATTCCCAAGCAATGATCAACTTATTACATTCAAAAGGTGTTTTTTTGTTTTGTTTTGTTTTTTTACAAAGTCTCCTGATCTAGTTATAATGGAATTCCAGTTCTTATTCTCTTGAAAAAACAAGCATTAAACATTTGGAGAGCTATGTGACACGCAGGGACATACATCAGAGATGAAACAAATGCAGAAACAACAAAATTTATTTCCAACAGAAAAGAAACGCCATTTCCAGGAATATCAGGGGGAAAGTGGGAGAGAACTGGGCTCTGATTGTTCAGCCGAAACAAAGAGAGAATTGGCCTCGGTGCGTGTGGGAGGCCTGCGTGCCCGTGGAGCGGGCAGCGGTTCAGCAGCATTGGCTGACCAGCATTGGCTGACCAGCATTGGCTGACCAGTGGCTGACCCGGCTGCGTGTTTACCTCTTACAAAGGGGAATCTTGGCCTCACACCTTGAAAACCCTGATTTTGGATGAAAACCTTAATTTTAATCAGGAAAAGATGGAGAAAAGAATAGTGTCTCAGCCTTGGTCATGACTGGCCACGTTCTGCTCTCAGCCTGCGAGGCCTCGAGCAAGTCACTAGAACTTTGGTCCATGAAGAGGAGATAATATTACTTGTCCCCACCACTTCACAGGAATGTGAGGAGGATTAAATGAGGTACGATCCAAGGATAAAATGCTCTCTATATGTGTAAGGGTTTCCTGCTATGTTCTTAACAATGGGCTGCCTGGAGTTCAGAGAATGAGGAGCCCTTAGTAAACACCCTCATACATTCACCTGGCACCTAGCTATAGGGTGTCCCAAAATTCACGCAAGAAGTAATTTTGATAGAAAACACAGGTTTATAATTAAAAATTGTAAATTTTTTATTGATTCATGAAGTATACAGTATAGGGTTATGTATGGAATAGCACATATGCAAAGCCGTGGTCTTCATTGTCCCTGCTCCTGGGCCATAATTGGTACTTGGTAATGCTTATCAAATTGAAGGGATTAAAATCAAAGGGCAACAGATATTAGAATCTGATTCAATAAACCAAGTAAAATTAGGCTTTTCTTTGTTGTTGTTAATGCTCACGCAAAATTCAAATCTTGCATGAGTTTTGGGACACCCTATATAATTTTGATCCAGGTAGGATAGTGCAGGCACATGGAAGGTGCTCCAACATGTGTGTGTGACCTGAAAACCAGCGTGTTTCTGTGGTCTTTCTACCCATGTCCCTTGCTGCCTCTGGGACAGCTTAGGAGGGGCCCTTTTTCCAGCCTCAGGCTTAGAGCTGCAAGAACAGACAGATGTGACAGGTAACAAGTTGATTTTGATGTGTGGGAGGGCCGGAGGGTGGGAAATCAAACTCCCTCCAGCCAGGAGTTTTACCTCCCTGGAGGGGGCATCTGTACAGTCTCTGGTAACAGCTGACTTTCGTGTTCTCTGCTGCCACCTGGTCTTTGGGGACCCGTGTAACCAGGAGATACCAAGTCTCCCAGCACCGGAGTTTTCTCGCACATGCCAGGGGCTAAGTTGTTTAGTCCTGCCTCGTGGTCATTCTTCCACCACGTCTGGAGTGATTTCTTGTGCCAGGGAACAAGGGGAGGCTTCTGTGAGGCCAGGCTCCTCTGCCTTCCACCTGGTCCCTCCTCTGAGCCCTCACTCTGGGCACCTGGGAAAGACCTGCTGATTGTGGTCTCCCAAAGCCATGCTCCCCTATCGGTCTCTCTGTTTTTCTTGCTTAGAAATGATGAGGTGGGATAGAAGGAGGCAGGGAGACCATGTAGGTTCTTGGGAACAGGCCTTGGTGCTGCTTGTGAGGCTTCCTGACTTGCTCCTGCCCTCCAGGAGCCTGGCAGTCCTCGTCCCGAGGCGGGGGCTGGGCCAGGGCCTGCTCTGGGCCTGGCCTTGGTTGAGAGGGATGGAGGGGCATCTGTGAGGGCTCCTGAAGAAGAGAGCTTCACTACAAAACTGCTGATGCGGATGACTCCCCTCCCTCCACACCAGCATCCATTCTCTTCAAACTTGTCCCACCTCTTAGCACACTTGCTTGACATTATTATGTGGATTCCTGCTGAAAGGAGGCCTGGTGTTATTATAAACAAGAGACTGTTATGAAAAGCTGCTGGGAGAGTTGCTGGTAATTAATGTTTAGTTCCAGCACTGAGGACTTTTCATTTCTTGCTTTTATCCATTTATCTGAATTTAGCTTGGGGAGTGTTTATTGCATGTGGGATTGGAGGTGAGATGTTTCCTCTTTGCAGGTCCACTTTGGTGAAGATGCAGAGTTGAAGAACTCTCAGTGCTCTCATTTTCTTTCCCTCCCTCCCTCCTTCCCTCCCTCCCTCCCTCCCTCCCTCCCTCCCTCCCTCCCTCCCTCCCTCCCTCCCTCCCTCCATCCCTCTCTCCCTCTCTCCCTCCCTCCCTCCCTCCCTCTCTCCCTCCCTCCCTCCCTCCCTCTCTCCCTCCCTTCCTCCCAATGATGACAGACTTTAATGTTAGGACATTTTGTGCTTCTGGCCTTTTCTTGGTCTACCAACCCTTACTTTTAGCTAAATAATCCTAGTCCTTCATTACCCCACACATTTCCGTTTCTAACTCTAGAAATTTCTTTAACCCCAAGATTTCTGCTTCTTTACATTGGAAGCTTTTCTAATGCTGAGTCACAATGTCAGATGCCTTTTCCAAAAAGAATCCACTCTGGTTCCACCTGGGCAAAGGTGGTGGGTGAAGATGGGGCAGCGAGGGAGTTGGGGGCAGAGGTTAGTGGGCGCGAGGGCCCTTTTGCTGGAGGCCCAGCCATGACTCAGTTCTGGTCACCTCCATCCACATGGATGACTCAGAATCTCCCTCATCTTCTCCCTTCCATACTGAATACATACCGAAGGCTGTCTTCTTCAATTCCTATTTCTGGATTATGTTGCAATGTATTCATTTTGCAGGCAAAGGGAGTTATAGAAATAAACTTCTGGATTGTGATCACTAATGGGAATAGAAATTAAATATTTATCCTTAAGACATACAGAGTTATCGTTCACTGGAAGACAGTTTAAAAGGTTTTATTTAGCTTTACTAGCTATTATCTTCGTCAAGGGCTTTCCCCCTTTCTCAGCGCAGCTGCAGCGTTTCGTCCAGCATTCTCTCTGTTGGGCCAGGCTGCTTCATTCAGCAGCTGCCTAACTGGGCTGACAGTTTTGGGTGTTGCTCTGGCCCCGGACAGAGATGTTACAGCCGCTTCAGTCACTGTGTTCTGGGCTGATGGGTGTGGGAGAGAAGCGTCAGCTGTGTAAGAGGGAAGATGCCAAGTTTACGGAGGTTTGGTCGCGGCTGTGCCTCAGGACCGGGTGACTTTGAATCCAGCCGTGGTCAGCGTCTTCCTAAACCAGGAGGGAGAGAGAGGGAGAGAGGGAGACTAGATTAAATGCATATAAAACTGTGAAGAGACTCCATAAGCATCCTAAAAATTATATACCTAGAAAATGACATTTTGTTTTAAGAGATTTCAAAGTCACCTGAATATAGTAAAACATAAGCCACTAGAATAGCCCAACCTTAAAAGACAGATTCAATGTTCAAAAGGAAAAAAAAGTCGCAGGAATAAAAGGCTTATTGAGTTTCAAGCATGGCCTTTTCGAGTATATCGACAAAAGTCTCATTGTCTCCACGGACCCTGCTGCCTCAGGGGGTCCCCGACCATCCTCTGTTGTTTCTAAGGTGGAGCAGACCCCTTTTTCTATGTCACATAACATCCCCCCCAGCCCCTCCCCTGGATGGAGCCTTCACAATTACACTGAATTTGTGATAAGCCTATCTTATCAAAGCAATGATGACAGTCATTCCATCTCAAACCCCGGCTTTTTCCTCCCTCAGACCAGTGCTGAGGGGAGTTACCTATTCGTGGGGCTGCCTGATGGTTCCCCAGCAAGCTGTTTCTGTAGCATGCGATCTGTAATGGTGGAGAGAGCGCTGCAACCGGCTTGTCTTTCTTTCCTGGGAACTTATTCTTTGAAGCAATTGAATGAGACCTTTTCAGGCGGGGGTGGCAGGCGGCCTCTCTTCAGAATGCCTGGCCTGCTTCCCAGTGTGAAACATTCCCCAAATATGCAACTTTGTAAGCGTCCCGGCAGCCAGAGCTCAGAGCAGCCTCCTGCCAGAGGAGCTGGCATCCCGTGGGGACGCGGGGATGGGGGCACAGCGCCCCGGCCCCTCCGGCAGGCCCTGGGTTTGCCTGATGCCAGGAAGACCCGGCCCCTGGTTACGTCGCTGGGAGAAGAATCTGGCCAACAGTTGGGCTGTGACAAGAGCTTGAAGCTTGTCTCTCTCTCTCTCTCTCTCTCTCTCTCTCTCTCTCTCTCTCTCTCTCTCAACCCCCTCCTTCATTCAAATTCAATCCTATAAAAAGGCTTTTGTTGAAGGAGCAGCCAGGGTATTTCGGTGCACGTCTGTGTCAGTGTTTCCAAAGTTGGACAGAAAGAACGTCCTCAGTTGAAATCCTGCGCAAGCAGGTCTGGAAATTGACTGGGAAGGAGTGGAGGTCACAGCCACTGTCACATGGCATCTGTTTTGTTTGGAAGTGATGAAGCCACAGAGCAAAGGACCTTCTTGTGGATGGTAAGACGTCCCCTGCCAGGGAGTGTCCGAGAAAGGGCACGCTGGGTGGGCCAAGGCTCGGGCTGGCTGGGTTGTTGCTTAGATGTGCATCTGGAAGGATGCAGTGAGCAGCTGGGGTGGGTGGAGATCGCTTAGGAAAGAAGGCGGCTCTGCGTCCTTTACCATCTCTGGGGGAAGGAGCCAGACTGCTTTGGGGGTTCTCGCAGTGTCCTACAGCCATGACTGCCCTCACACTGTGGCATTCTGCTGCCTGAAAACAGGTCCACAGTTTGATTAAGGAACCGACCTTTCATTTCTCCTGAGTCTTAAGCTTTTGCTGAATTTTGTCTCAACTTAGTGCCTTAGAAGCCCCCGAAGTCTTTGTTTCACGGAGGCCACTGATGGAAGGACTTAGAAAGGAGACAGTTTGCTGTGTTTTGCTGGTTGTCATTTTATCATTTGCTTATTCAGTTGGATCTTCTTTTGCGTGAGCTCTAAATGCATATGGTTGTCAAAAGCAAAAGCACCCAAGCCAAAAAGCGATGTCCAGCAAATTATCGACTCTGGCATTCATACATGGGCGTTCTTTCCTATGACTGAGTTGAATTCTTTTTCGTGAGGCTCAGTCCTTCGCCTGCCCAAATTGTGTGACATTGCTCTGTTTTGGGGTTTCTGTATTTTTAGGCATTGGGAGTAAAGGATCACACAACTTCTCTTAAATTTGCCATCTTTTATGGGGGTGTCCTGCCACTTTTTCTTTTTGCTAATATTCTTCTCCTGATGCTTCTTGCTTCTTTAAGCACATTTCTGATTTTATTCCTCTGGATTTTCCCTAGCTCTTCCTTGGCATTTAACGCCTGTGCCTTGTTCGGGTCCTGCCTCCACCACTTGCTAGTTGTGTGACTTTGGGCTAGTTAATTGTAGACTTCATTGTCCTTATAGTAAAAGGGGACATGGTACCTTAATTCGTGAGCTCTCCTGGGGATTAAATGAACTGGTACAAGTGCAGTGCTTAGAACAGTGCCTGACATCATTATTGTTTAGTTTGGGCTTCTTCCATGTCTAATGCGGGGGCCACTGGGAAATGTTACTCTTAGGAAAGAGAAGACAGTGGGAGGGACAGGCTTGATGATGCAGTGGTGGTATTTCATCATGCTGCCGTTTCCATAGCGTGCTAGTCCCTGATGAGATGAAGGGGAAAAGCCCTAACTAAGCTGTGTACTCTGCACTGCTTTTTTTCCTGTAACCTCTTTATTGAGATTCGCATACCATACAATTCACCTGTGTAAAGTGTACTATTTCATAGGTTTTGGCATTATTACATTATTAATTTTTTAAGTTCTGGTAAAATATATAGGAAACATAAAGTTTGTCATTTTAATCATCTTTAAATGTACAATTTAGTGGCATTAATTACATTCACAATGTTGTGTAACCATCACCTCTATTTCCAAAATTTTTTCATCACCTCAAACAGAAACTCTGTACCCATTAAGCAGTAACTCTCCAGTCCCTCTCTCTCAGCCTCTGGTAACTTCTAATTTGCTCTCTGATGCTATGAATTTGCTTATTCTAGACATGTAAGTGACATTATACAGTATTTGTCCCTCTGTGTCTGGCTTCATTTAGCATGATATTTTAAGGGTTCATCCTTGTTGTATGTATCAGAACTTCATTCCTTTTCATGGCTGAATAATATTCCTTTGGTTGGGTATACCATATGTTGTTTCAACCATAGGTGGTCATTGGTTGTCTCCACCTTTTGGCTATTGTGAATAATGCTGCAATGAACATTCCCATAAAAGTATCTGTTCAAATTCCCACTATAATTCACCTAGGAGTGGAATAGCTAGGTCATATAGTAGTTCTATTTTAGCTTTTAGAAGAAACACCCAATAATTTTCCTGGAAAACAGTTGCTTTTTGGTCATTCTCTCTTCTTGTATATATCTCTCCTTTGGTATCTCTCTCCCTCAGATTCTATTCCATTTCCTCCCATTTATCCAAGTTTTCTTATACTTTAATCAGCACACATGTTCTTGTCTCCCCTCCCAACCATGTGTCTCCCTCTCACATGTCTTTCTTTGTCCCTCATCGATTGGCAGAGCATATATCACCCACTCTGGCTACACGTCGCCTGATCATTTTCATCTCATTGTCCAAGGAGGGGGAGACTTTGTAGGTCATCCATAGGCCCCAGTATACTTCGGCTGGAGGTGGTTTCCGCCACAGGATGCCCTAAAACCTCTAAGGTGTGGGAAGTCGTTGGGGATGTGGAGTCACAAACACGGCAGAATTCCAGCCCCCCTTCAACAGGCTTCCTCCTTCCCACAGCACCTTGCTGTGTTGTTCCCTGTCCAGCAGGAGAGTTGTTCTCCACTTTTCATTTGCTCCCAGTTTCTCCACTTTTCTATGAGCAAGAGAATTAATGAATGAATACCCCAGCAGACTGTAAGCCTGCCTCAGACAGCCATTCTGCTTGTTGGGCTAATTGTGAGCCCAGGTTTCTGAATGTCATTCATTTCACAATAAGGCTCCTAATTAATCTCAGCACCGTTCTCACCAGAAGAAAGGCTGATACACAGAAACATCCCCAATTACCATGAGAAAGGAAATGTCGAGAGCCCCGTTGAATTTTCCTGGCATCCAACCCTGTCTCAGATGAAAATTGCCATTAACCCACAGGCAGCCCAGCGATCAACCTTGGAAACGAGGGGGTGATGAGAGCCTGAGGAGCCCCAGACCACACGGACCCCGTTCCTGGAGGAACCTGCCGGGGCCTGCACACTCTTGTTTAGTAACACCGATTGTGTTTCCCGAGACGACGTGGAGAATCCTGCTGCGGGTGCCTCGTCAGAAGCAGAAATGCTTCAGCCGCCCCAGAAGCTGGTGGGGCGGTTTTAATCCGGAAAAGCTAAAGGTCTCCTCTTTTGTCTGTGTTTTTGTGCCTGCAGGACAAAAGATCCTTCATCACCGAAGTGACGTGTTAGAAACAGTGGTCCTGATCAACCCGTCAGACGAAGCCGTCAGCACTGAGGTGGGCATTCAGCTCTGCAGGGCCTCACACAACTGCAGGACCCAGCTGACCGGAGGCACTGGGGCAGGTGGCCGGAGAGGGAGAGGGGAGAGAAAAGTTCTTGGTCCAGGATGCTGGGTCCATCCCATCAGTGGCTGGTTCTCTGTGTCAGCACCACCCCAGACTGCCCTTCCCAATAAGGACAAAGTGGAAGAACGTTCTGGAACTGGAATATCTCATTGAGGCTAGTGGGTAGAACTCTTGTGTGTACATGGAGGGTGTGCTGCTGGGACGGACTCTGCTAGGGTGCAGCAGGGGGCATAGATGGCAAGCCTTCAGGCTGGGACATCAGGACCCAAATTTGAGGAAGAACGGCATCTCAGATGCGAGCCCCTTCAGATCCATCCTGCCCGACCCCTTATCACTGTCGAGAGGCAGGGGACATGCGGTAAGGAGCGTGGCTGTGGTGCCGACGCCTGGGTTCTTCCACTCGTTCGCTGGCGGCCTCCCTGGCCACCTCTGTGAAGTGGAGATTGTACAGTGCTTACATTTAATTTGCATGTTTAGTGTGCTGCTTAGAAATGTGAAGCAGTTAGAACACAGCATGGCACATAAGAACTGATATATAAACTGACTATTCTGATGAATAATAGTACTGTTTCCATCATATGAAATTTTTGCCAGAGAGAGTAACAGGTTATTTCAGAGACCACTATACGATACGAACTTGGCTGAAGCCAAGAATCTCTGGGGACCTAAGCCAGAGGACTTAGTGTATCTTCATTTACTGTTTCCTTTATTGAGTTGCTTCTTGGACATTGAAGTAGCTATAGGCCCTGGGGAGGGGGAGGGACTGCATTACCTGAAGAGTCTCTTCTGCCCATGCTTTGAGCATCTCTGTGATTATAGCCTTTTTAAAATTTAAATATATATTTTATTGATTTTTTACAGAGAAGAAGGGAGAGGGATAGAGAGTTAGAAACATCGATGAGAGAGGTCGATCAGCTGCCTCCTGCACGCCCCCTACTGGGGATGTGCCCGAAACCAAGGTACAGGCCCTTGACCGGAATCGAACCTGGGACCCTTCAGTCCGCAGGCCGACGCTCCATCCACTGAGCCAAACCGGTTCGGCAACCTTTTTAAAATTTAAATCGAGATATTTTACAACCATGAAATTCATGCTTTGAAAGTGTGTGAGTTGGTGGGTTTTAGTATGTTCACAAAGTTGTGCAACTATCCCCATTAATTTCAGAATATCACCCCCCAAAAACCCTGAACCCATTAGCAGTTACTCCCCATTCCCCCCAGCTGCAGGCAACCATTAACCTACTTTTTGCCTCTATGGGTTTACCTATTCTAAATATTTCGGGTAATGGGAATCATACAATATGTGGCCCGTTGTGCCTGGCTTATTTCATTTAGCATAATGTTTTCAAGATTCACCCACATTGTAGCTTATATCAGTACTTCATTTCGTCTTATGGCTGAGTACTCTTCCATTGTGTGGATATGCCACAGTTTGCTTCTCTGTTGATCAGTTGATGGGTTTGGGTTGTTTCCCCTTTTTGGCTATCATTTTGAAGCCTGTTTTTGTTTTTTTAAAATATGTTTTTTGTTTATTTTAGAGAGGAAGGGAAAGGGAGAGAGAAATATAAACATCAGCACTGAGAGAGAGTCATTGATTGGCTGCCTCCTGCATGCCCCCTACTGGGGAT